CTGTGAACAAATCCAAGAAATGAATTGTCCAGTCGGCGCTGTTTATCGACGGGGGGGGCATTTTGTATTATAATTGCTTCCCTGGTTCCGGTTTACAAATCTCACTCTGGTAAAACTTGTGAACGCTTGTGAAGCTGGAGCAAGATCGTCTAGCCACCATCCTAAAACGTGTCAACTCGAAAAAAGGGTACCTAGATGGGTTGGCAAATCTATGAAAAGCAGAATGCCCCCCCCCCGTCGATAAACAGCGCCGAACCCAAGACGGTGTACATATTTGAGGTGGAGACAAGTTAGACCCTTTTTCTGCTAAACTGCACCCTCTCAAGGAAACAGTTTTGCCATTTGCTTTTAGCCCCTCAGCTTTACCCAACATAACATAACAGATGCAGCGGGTTCGAGTCCCGCCCGTGGTCCGACTTTTGCCCACAACTCAGCATTCTTGTGATAACTTTCGTATCGCGCACTGCGGCGTAAAACAGCAGTTATCAAACAATAACATAACATAATCGTTTTCCCTTGTCATTGAACGCCTGGATTCAGCCATATTGTAAGGAATTTTTTTTTTTCGTTTCTTTTTTTCTTTTTCTTGACATCTTCAATCTCTCTCTAGTTTGTAACTGTTTTTTGCTGAACCTATGTCTATACCCTCCACCCCCCCTTTCCTCCCTGCCCCCCCTTTCCCTGCTTCGCTTGGCCAATGGAGACGATTGGCGGACCTACTAAGTTGGTATCCGGGGCCATCCGCACAATGGCCTGCGATGTTGGCGGCGCATCGCCCTTTCCTCTCCAATCTTTGGCCGTCCCCTCACCACTCCCCCTACCCAATTTTTCTGTACCTTATTATATTTCCTTGCATCTCTATTGCGATTTTTTGCTCCACTCTTGCTTTGTTATTATTTACTGTTCATTTAGTTGCAGCTAGATAAATAATAAATAAATAAATAAGTGAACAGTTGCTTCTTTTCAGGACTTCTTCTTCATTAGTGCCTGGTTCGATTCTTGGAAGAGTCAGGGCTGTGGCAGGCCGTCATGTCGTCAGTTACAGTATCAACGACGAGAAATTTGACGTTGATTCATGGGGAAATGTGATTTTCACGGGTGAAGCCCTGACATCAGGTCTTCACGAATTTGTCGTGACGGCATCGACGGAGTTCCAAAACGCTACAACTGTCCAGAAGGTGATTGTCGAAAGCGACACTGCAGCCGTCGGGGGAAGATCGTTTCGTGTTAAGGTAAGTCTGGAGCTGAAGGTCTTTGGGACCATGATGACGATGTCCTCCCCTTTTCAGGAGAATTCTGCTCCCGAAACGATCACAGAGATAGGCGAAGATCAAGATATCTTGCTGGTGGTTCCATCAACATCGGCTTTCAAAATATCTGATGGGAAACTCGTCCTATCCAAACCGTTGGACTACGAGAACTCTTCCAACTATCATGTACTCGTTGGTAACAAAAGGTATAATATTGGAATAATAAGTATATTGATTATGAGCATCGGGATTTACCAAGCAGAATGCCAACCGCGATTGTAGGTGTTGTGAGCTCTCGTGCCAATGCTACTATTTTTGTCGCGGTTAGATTTGGTGGGCAGCGCGAAGCCTGCACAGACCACCTCGCCAAGACCTGCAACTTCTTGTAACCAACGTGGCTCACTGTACCATTTCACCACTGCTTCACAAGAGTTTACAGGCCACCACAATGAGACCTGGACCTGTTGTTGGTTAACATGAATTAATAAGGGATAGAAAAGGCACATATTCCCCGCCCCCCAAGCCGAACAGCGCTCCGTTCTTGTTATGTGGCCCAAACAATAAGTGAATGCCCAGGGTGTTTGATTTCAAACCGTTTGGAGCGTGCAGGGGAGGCGAAGACGATGCGGACAGCAGTCATCGAATACGACCCGCCCCCTTGCTTTTTGGGGGTATGGCTGCGCCCCCAAACCGGCCGATCGAGCAGAGAGGCGGGGGGCGGGTAACAGCACAAGCTTAGGGTATCACAAAAGTCCCCAACTCCTAGAAAAGCTGGAAAGTAAATAAGAATCCCCCTCCCTCCCAACAATGATCAAGTACGACCCCCTTCCTTTTACAATGTCCGTGAAGCGAGAAAAATCAACTATCAAAATGAATTTTTCTCAGCCCAAATACGACCCTCCTCTCCTGGCGGCCAAATACGATCCCCCTGTTGGGGATTCCCCAACAATGATGTGCCCTGCCTCCCACTACGAAGTACGAGTACCCAAGGATAACAATTTACCTTGAGATTATTAAATTTATTTATTTTAGCATAGAGATGTTCCATAAAACTAGTTCTAATTTTTCAGGACTTTACACAACTGATTACCAAATTGAAGTATAACTGGGCGTCAATGCACAACGATCCGGGGAATGCGACGCTACTACTTTCGTGGTCGATGCGTTGCCCTTCTCAACAAACATCCGTTGTAAGACCCAGACTCTCAGGAGACAGTCAGGTTAAAGTATCGGACGACCTCCACAAAGATGAAAATTTCGGAAGACGGACTCCTGTCTGTGTCTTCTATGAATGGAACGACGACTTCAGTTGCTGTTGACGTCATTGAAGGAGAAAAGTGGGTTTTTCACTACTGAACGTCATTTCTTTTCTTTTGATTCACACGATTATCAAAAATAACACGGCTAAATGAAATTTTTATCGGCGAATTTTCAGCGTGAGGGGGGATGTGGGGAGGCGGTGTTTAGCCGCGCCCTCCCGATAAAGAGCATGGTCCTTTCGCATTAGGCTTGCTAAACGCTCTTGGATACCGCTTTCGAAGCGCTAAGCAAGATAATGCGGATTAAGATGTAGAAATGGGCGAAGACAGCCCTGCTGAAGTTGCTCTTCCGGGCCAACTGTTGGCTCGTAGTGTACAAAAGTAACCATTTGCAATGGATTATGGGTGAATAAAGTAATTTCTGTGCAAGTACCTTCCCAGTAGCCGTTCCAACTCGAATCAAATTTTGATTGTCGAGAAGACGATACCCAATCACTCCATTCAACCCGATATCGTCATCTCGAGCTTCCAAGTAGCCTACTGTTGACCCGACGCGAATATTCTCTTGAATTTCAAAGCTTCTTTTGATTGGGCATTGAGGACTGTGGTCGTTGACGTCGTCGATGAAAACGCGAACCATTGCCGAGTAAGTGTTGTTCAGGACTCTGCAATCGATCAGTTGTTCTGGAATATGCCACACATTCGAATTTCGCTCGGGATCGCTGCACCTTTTGATAGGGTATTTAACTTCCACAATACCTCTTTTGGTAAGGCAAAAAACGAGTGCTTTTTTTTCCACATGATCCTGATTCTATAATATCTCTCGGAAGGACAAGGGCTAGCCTGACTTGAGGAAGGTGGAGGGAATCCCAGCCGCGATTCATAGATGTGGGACATGAGACCCGTGTTCTTGCCGCACGCGAAAGCGGCAGCCCGGCTAGCATATGCAAAGGGCCGCAACCACTGAGTCATCGCCCCTCCATGAGCATTGGTTCTAGCATATCACTACAACTCGGATCCCCTGGCTCTCTCCCGGGATTTATATCTGGACCATGCCACAACTAGGACACTTGTCATACCTTGGGAGTGGTGGAATCAAGTCCATTTCTTAGGATCAGTTGGATAAGTAGAAATTAATGGCCCTTCAAAAAGGGTTGAAAGGAGCCGACGCGGGCGGTTGC